TTCAAATGACATTTGTCAAAAATGAAAAAAAAATTGCTATGACAAATTACAGAATTGATACATAGCATACCAAAAAATTAAGTTGCAAAATAACTACAGTAAATAAATTTACTAGGGTACTGCACTCAAGTAACAATTTTGAGTTTTTACTTTTTAAAAAGTACTCAATTTTTTTTTTGTTCTACTTTTACTTAAAGTATGGTTTTCTAATACAGTGGTCCCTCAGTTAACGAACGGTTCGATTAATGAAATTTCGGTTAACGAATTAGCTCCCATCAGGATTTTCAGTTCGATTAACGAACAAAACTTCGATTAACGAAATCCTTACGACAAACACGTTTTGTTGTGCGCATCAGCTGATCGGCCAGTCCACCAATACAGAAATTGGTTCTATGTTTACATTCGTTTCCAGTGAAGTAAATATCAAGAAAGTTTATCTCTTGAATATTTCTGCATTTTTTATACAGTAGTACCCCGATTTACGCGGTCAATTGAACCTACAGGGTACCGCAGAAAGTGAAAACCGCATAAAGTGAACAACAGAACATATGGGATTAATTCCAATAGAAACTGACCCGACCCCCAAACTCCACTTTTTCAGACACAATACCTATGTTGTAGTAAAAATAACACCTTAATTGTATGATGGTTTGCTCACACAATTAATAATTAAGAGAAATACCAATAATATTAGGTTTTTTAACACTTACATTAGTAGAAAAGATGGCAGGGCACACGGGGATGGGGGATTGGTTCCGAGGCAGAGGGCAGATTATTGGCCCTCACCCGTATCACTTGTAACAATTGTATCACTATCCACCACATAGGCTTGCAGGGCCTCTTTGTCAAACCCTCAAAGTCCATATAAGACCATATCTTCACTATCACTGACTTGGACCGGCTGTGGTGGGTGGCGGGTGAAGAACTCGGTAATGTTTTGATGACTGGGCGACCTTGTGCGCATCCTGCCCGCGCAGCTTCCCGCGTATATGCACCGCGTAAAATGAAACTGCAGTTCTGGCGAGGTACTGCGTAAATGTGGAATCGCGTAAACGAGAACCGCATAAATCGGGGTATTACTGTATTAAAATTATTGGACATTCTGAAATTTAGTTCACATATTGATAATATAGACACTACAGGGAACAGTTTTTGTGCACCCATCAGCTGATTGAATCACCCAACAACGCTTCTCAGTTTAGCTTTGTTTACATTGTTGTGAACATCGATTTTGTTGGTCTCTTGAAAATTTTTGCATTTTTCATTAAAATTATTGGTCATTCTGAAATTTAGTTAACATATTGATAATATACAGTGTAGAAATTATTATGAAACATGAAGAAGGCATTAGAATCAATGCACTCTGTAAAGAACATGGCATCATCATCGACTGCCTCTACAATCACCTGTTTGATATGTAAACAAAGCAGCCGATAATACGACATACACACCTCAAAGTAAGTTAAAATACAGTATTCTATTTTTTTATTTTTTATTATTGTACAGTACAGTATACTGTACAGTACAGTACAGTACTCCCTCTTTATCGACGGATTTTTTATCGACGGTTTCGATTATCGACGGATTATTTAGACGGATTTTTATTTTGGCTTTATTTGAACTCTGCGGGCCTTGTTTGTACTTTCGCCGCTAGGCGGCACTAGTGGCGTGACTAGCGTCTACCCGCGTCCACTTATTATATTATTATTTATACACTATTATTTAAGGTTATGTGTAAAGGAAACGCATTAATGCTTAAAGGTACATTTATTCAACATATGCTAATAATAGTTAGAAAAATTACGTAACCATCACGGTATCGACGGTTTCTTTATCGACGGCCGTCTACAGAACGTAACCCCCGTCGATAAAGAGGGAGTACTGTACTGTATTTAGTTTATATTTAATGTTTTGTTAATTCCATTACTGGTATACAGTACTTTATATGTATACTTTTTCTGTGAGTTGGAACCAATTACCCAATATCCCATTGAAATAATAGATTTGGCTAACGAAATTTTCGGTTAACGAACGACTCTGTGGAACGAATTGTGTTTGTTAACCAAGGGACCACTGTACTTTTACTCCAATACAATTGAAATAACAAAAATCGTTACTCATTATGTGCAAACTAATAATATATTTTTTAATTAATTGTGAGGGTGGAGGGTATGGTGTGGGTGAAGCCGTGAAGGTTACAGTGTGAGTGTGGGGTACACCACGCGGTCACATTCCTAGAGGTCTCATGAAGTGAGATGACGTCAGGTTAGGTGGAAGTGGCCATGACAGCGGACTTTCCCTTTCATCTTCTTGTGTCCATTAGCTATTAGCACCTTGACCAGCCACCTTACCTAGCCTACCCACTTATCCTCCCTCCCCCATCGAAAAAGGGGCTTGGTCTTAACATTAGACATGAGTTCCTCTTCGTATATACCTGTATCTAAAATGATTTCAAAGAGGCTGTGATTCTAAAAAGCTTTACATAATTCCATCTTGGATATAAAGCCTGAATCTGTACATATGTGTGAGACTGAGTGTATTTAAAATTCTGCTTAAATAACTAAGTACTGTACAGCATGCCCTTACAATTCATGGATTTTTAATTTGTGGATGACACCCTGGATGTACCCAGGAATGTCTGCGGGTAGTTTTAAAGTTGGCGGCATTTTTTGCGTCCGTGATGGGGAGCTTACGAGTTTTATGGCATTCCACAAGGTGTCTCTCTTGTCCCAGGCGGCTGGGCCATGTGTGCTCACTTTGGGTTAAACACTTGTCCATTTCAAGAGTGTGCTACTCTGCTCTCTTAACAACTGTGCTCCTTGTGCTTGTGATGGCTCTCAAATGCTCGTAACTACCTTCATACAGCCACAGGAAGATGCCCAAACAAGTGAAGAGAGAAAAGAAGGTCAAGAATTTCTCCCATACGTACGCCTGGCTATGCCTGGCTATGCCTGGCAACGGGAGCGGGTAAGGGGAGTGAGTGACTGCTAGTTAGTGCGTCGTCTGCAGTTGTAACTCTCCTCACTCCCTGCCATATTTCACTGAATTTACTGTTTTTATTAGTGTTTACTTATAGAATAGTGTTTAATAGTGATTAATCATGGCATTGTAGCTAGGTTAGCTCATCATTGTAACCACCAGAATACTGGACCAAGCTGTGAGGTGTTATGTTTTTTCCATTCGTATTTTCGGATAGATATACCTGTACAGTGGTCCCTCGGTTAACGAACGCCTCGGTTAAGGAAATACCTTCCATAAGAATCTTCATTTCGGTTAACGAACAAAAATTCGGTTAACGAACAAAAATTCGGTTAACGGAATTCTTACGAAAATGTTTCGACATCCTTTGGCTTGCTCACCAGCTGGAAGATTAGTCCGCCAAAACAGAAATCGGTTCTAGGGCTTACATTCGTTAAAATTGGAGTAAATATCAAGAAGGTTGTACTATTCAATAGTTTTCCAAGTATTATATTAAAATTTTTAGTCATTTTATCACTTATTTAACATAATTGCAGTACAGGGCACTAGTTTTTGGTGCGCCCATCAGCCACTTCACTCACCCACCAAGGCCTCAGCTCGTATCTCTGTTCAGTGGAGGAAACATCTTGCTTGTGGGTCTCTTGAACACAGAGTATTTTTACGTTTTTACAGTACAATTATTGGTCATTCTGAAATTTATTTAACATATTGACAATATATAGTGCAGTGCAGTGTTGATTTAAAGAAAAAATCTTGAATTACACCTAGTGAACTTAAAAATTTATGGGTGAAATGACGGCATCAAGCATGGGGTGATTTCTCCTCTCCCTTCTCCTCCACCCCCACTTCTAATTCCCATCATCATCATCATCAACCAGGAGCCTTCTACATGCACACCTCAAAGTAAGTGTGCTTTACTGCATTTATTTATAGTTTGTATGTAATTTTCGGTGAGCTGGAACCAATTACCCAAAATCCCATTGAAACAATGGTTTTGGTTAACGAACGACCTTCTGGAATGAATTGTGTTCGTTAACCGAGGGACCATTGTACAGTATATACTTTAGAAACTTTTGTTCAAAATTTGATTAAATATTATTTTATGAAATTATTTAACTTTATTAACTTATTTAAGGTACAGTATTTAAAGTCATTTAAGGTTGGTGTGTTGATGCGGCGCAAGCTACCTAACCACTCACTCGCACACTCATTTCAGTGGAAGTGGTTCATTGAGACATGCTCACCACTTTTATGACATGTAACTTCTAATTTCACATCCATCTCATAGCCACCATGCTTCCTTTTAGTCACTACACCACTTTAGAACTGATGGCTGCAACAATAGTCCACCAATGGCAACAAAGACACAACAAAGTTGATTATTATAGTCTTCAAGACAACGACTGAGGACACGGGTGACTGCATAGCGTGGGCGAGAAGGATGAAATTTAAGAGAATAGGAATTACAATCTCTCAAATGCTTGTGCTCCCAATGATCGACTGATTTCATCCTTAGAATCCTTTTAACTTCAGGGACTCTTTACATGTACGAGTAGTTCCACAATCATTTGACCACTTAAGTGTGAAACCACTTATAATGAAGACACTTACAATGAGGACCCCCTGTATGGTGCTTCAATCTTTGCTTGTAGTGCTGGTAAGAGTTACTTTTTTAAAATTAGTACTATTTACATGTACACACATATGGGCTGATAATGTTTTTTGTTGTATTATTATACGGGGGGGGGGGCTCGATAAGGAGGAATTTGGGATAATTTGGCTAAGCCGGAGCCCCATTGTGCCGAATTATCAAGGGTTTACTGGACGTACATCTACTATCCATCCAAAATGTTTGGGTCAAGAGTCAAAATTTTTCACAAAAAACTCTATGACATGATTTCCCAAAGTGAGCATCCTAATGTTGGATGTGATGTATAAATGAATATACAAATGAATGGGCAGCATAGTCTAAACCCCCAATGATTTTGTTGGGGGCATAAAAACAAAAGACATCCTCCTACCATTGGTAAACTCTCGCCGGTGTGGTTCAGAGTAACCTGTGTGCTGCTCCCATCGCGCCGCATGTAGGACAAACTTCCTTTCCGAACCCGCTCACTGGGCTGGAAGAGAAGAATTATTATAAGCACAAAAGGCTGTATTAAAAATTTTTTCTTCCATAAAAATTATAACCTTTGCAGAGTCTTACAACATTAAATGCTGATTGCAACTTTAAAATAACTATAAAAATAACAATAATAATACAGAAGGGTCGGGATATATCGCGAGATAGGGTCCAAGGATGTTTGCTATATACTAAATCGCGGTAAATAATTACATGTAATCAATGGGGAAAATAGGGTCAGGTTCTGGAAGCCAATAAAAGTTAATGAAATTACTGTAGATATAAAACGGCACAGACTAAAGTTAGCAGAATATAAAATGCATTGCTAGAATCCTTGCAAGACAGCGAATAATTTGAATATAGGCATCATATATTTTGCACAACAGATAATTTTTTTAGTCTTTTAGAATACATTTAAGTACAGTACTGTTTTTCAACTTTTATTTTTGGGGCAAATTAGGGAATTTTTAGGAGTGTTTCTGACTTTTTAAGTTTTTTTGCTTTATGTGAGGTTCCAGGAACATAATCCCACGTAAGTTGTCAGTCTACTGTAAATAAATTTATCGCTATGTATTAGAAAATGTTGATAACTTTGGTAGTCCCGATAAATTTGAAATATTTCCTGCCCGATTTCCCTCGCGTAAAAAAAAAAATCGCTATACAGTATATAGGATAATTTTGGTAGCAGCAATATAAAATTTTTTTTTTTATATAAAGTCATATATATCCCAACCCTACTGTAAAAATAATAATAATAATAATAAAACCATGAAGAGAGAATTCAGCATAACTCCTACAACAATCTTTATACTTTGTCATAAAAATATTACACAACTATATACAAGTACAGTAATCTCCCCGATTTACGCAGTCAATTGAACCCGCGTAATAGCGCGTAAAACGAGAAAAGCGTAAATGGAATAACAGAACATATGGGATTAATTGAAATAGAGACTGGGCCTACTCCCAAACTCCACTTTTTCAGACACAATACCAACATAATACCTAGTTGTAGTAAAAATAACATCTTAATTTTATGATGGTATGCACACACAATTAATATTTAAGAGAAAAACAGTCGCCAGGTTAATGTCCATTCAAATAATGGACTCAACTCCCCCTCTTCCCATGCTCGCTGGCTCCTCCCTCCCTGAGAAATGTTTGGGTGAAAACGCTAGATTTTAAGGTACATTATTACCCCGCTTTACACGGTTTCACTTTCTGCGATTTCTCATTTACGCGGTACCTTGCCAGAACCGGACTTTCACTTTCTGCGGTGCATCTACTCATATACACGGTGAAGTATAATTTTTTTTTTTTTTTAGCTCATAAAATTCATACAAATTACCCGACCAGAATATAATTTACATTGCTGGAATTCTTACAATATGATGATCAATTTGAATATAAACATCATGGATTTTGTATTAGACATACAAATTTTAGATCTAATGTAATAATTTGGTTTACACAAAGCAAATATTTTATCTTTTGTGCAAAATATATGAAGTTTACATTCAAAATATTCCCTGACCTGCAAGGGATCCAGAAATGTCAATTATATTATCCTAACTTTAATCTGAGGTATTATTTATTACTAAAAATATAAATCTACTGTTTTCTCCCAAACATTTCTCTGGTAGGGAGGGAAGGTGGGGGGGAGGGTTGGTACTGACCGTCCCAGCTGGCGTGGTGTGGAGGGGGGGAGGCAAGGTGGGGTATTTTGATTGACAGATAGTGTCTTGAAAATTTTTTTTTTTTATTAACTGAAGATATTTGTTTTAGCTCATAAAATTCATACAAATTACTAAGCCAGAATATAATTTACATTACTGGAATTCTTACAATATGATGATCATTTTGAATATAAACATCATGGATTTTGCATTAGACATACAAATTTTAGATCTAATGTAATAATTTGTGTTTACACAAAGCAAATATTTTATCTTTTGTGCAAAATATATGAAGTTTACATTCAAAATATTCACTGACCTGCAAGGAATCCAGAAATGTCAATTATATTATCCTAACTTTAGTCTAAGGTATTATTTATTACTATACGTTAAAATCTAGTGTTCTCACCCAAACATTTCTCAGAGGTAGAAGCCAGTGAGCTGGGAAGAGGGGGGTGGAGGGTGGGGGGGTGAGTTGATTCCATTATTTGAATGGACATTAACCTGGCGACTGTATTTCTCTTAAATATTAATTGTGTGAGCATACCATCATAAAATTAAGATGTTATTTTTACTACAACATAGGTATTGTGTCAGAAAAAGTGGAGTCTGGGGGTCAGGCCAGTCTCTATTGGAATTAATCCCATATGTTCTGTTGTTCACTTTCCGCGGTACCCTGTGGCGTAAATTACTACTGTACAGTAATAAATAATACCTCAGACTAAAGTTAGGATAATATAATTGACACTGCTGGATTCCTTGCAAGGCCAGGAATATTTTGAATATAAATGTCATATATTTTGCACAAGAGATAAAATTTTGGCTTTGTAATCAAAATTCTTAAATTAGATCTAAAATTTGTAAGTCTAATGCAAATTCCATGAAGTTTATATTTAAAATAATCAAAATCTTATAAGAATTCCAGCCATGTAAATTATATTCTGGCTGGGTAATTTGTATGAATTTTATGAGCTAAAACAAATATCTTCAGTAAATAAACAAATTATTATTCACCCAGACACTCTCTGTCAATCAAAATACCCCACCTCCGCTCCCCCCCTCTTCCCACGCTCCCTGGGTCCCTCCCTCCCTACCAGAGAAATGTTTGGGAGAAAACAGTATATTTACATTTTTAGTAATAAATAATACCTCAGACTAAAGTTAGGATAATATAATTAACATTTCTGGATTCCTTACAGGTCAGGAAATATTTTGAATGTAAACTTCATATATTTTGCACAAAAGATAAAATATTTGCTTATTTTCATGATTTCTTTAAATTATATCTAAAATTTGCATGTCTACTGCAAATATTAAGATGTTTATATTTAAAATGATCACCATCTTGTAAGGATTCCAGCAATGTAAATTACATATTTTATGAGCTAAAAACATATATATCTTCAGTATATAAACAAATTATACTTCACCCACTGATCTATCTTTCTGCCTCATTTACACACAATTGCAGTTTCAATTGTTTCTCTTCCTTTGACAACACAACATACATACAATATAATGTTCCTCACCTTTGACCTTGTGCGCACCCTGCCCGTGCCGCTTCATGCGTAAATGATGGAATGAACCGTGTAAATAAAAATTGTCGGTCTGGCAAGGTGCAACGTAAATGACCAAACGCGTAAACCAAATCAGCATAAATCGAGACTATACTGTACTGTAAAATGGAAAATGTGGCAACTTTGTATTGGGTAGTGGCCAGTCGCAGGGACTGCAATTGGAGAAATTTTATTTGCTTTTAAGGGGATTAGGTTTTCATTTTTGGGCCGCGAATCGCCAAATCCATGAATAACATTTGCGGACTGGGTGGGGGTACATTTTTACTTGTGTACAAAGAAATGTATATTCCTTTCTGTGTTTGCCCTTAGGACAATTACTTCTTTTACCTGTAGTTTTGTATATGTGTGTGTGTGTGTGCACGTGTGTACACACCGCACACATATACACACACACACACACACAAAACTCATACAAATAAATAATAATTGGAAGACCCTCTCACAAATAATCAAAAACAAATTTATTAAAAATGTGAGTCTACCCTCAAGACCGTGCAATCTTAATAAAGTACTGTAAAAGAGTACGGACTTGAGGGTAGACTGTCACATTTTTAATAAATTTGTTTCTGATTATTTGTGAGAGGGTTTTCCAATTATTATTTATTTGTATGTGTTTTATGTGTGCGTCTACACACACACACACATATTTACAATACAGGTAAAGGAAATTACTGTCTTGTTTCTGTTCTTGTTGTGATTGTAGCTGTTCTTGCAAAGTTGTTTGTTCCTACTTCTGTTCTTTTCATTGTGATTGTAGCATTGTTGCAAAGTTGTTTGGTGTTCCTTCTGGTCTTCTCATTGTGATTGTAGCATCAGATTAGCCATGGAATTCTCCTCTTGCCTGGCCTGGTCTGGACACCTTCGATTTCCATCCTGACTAATATCTCACTGCTAGGCTATCCCACTCCTGACACCAGTGTTACGAACCCCTTTTGCTGCTTACCAGCGTCCACCGACGATTACCAGCAACCAGGTCGTATACTATACAGAAGCAATAGAAATATCAAGTGTCGTTGAATTACCACTAGCTGTACTGCCAGTCTCCAGTAATTTCCTGATGATCGGTATCAGTGTGCAGACAAAACACCAGGCAGGTAGATTTCCACTAGGTCACAGGTCACAAAAACTGTTCACAGGTTAAGTCTTCACAACTGTACCTTTGACTTCGAACATATACAGTGAGCACACTACTAGTTACAATTCCTTAGTCTTTTCACTTTATATCACTTACAACAATTCCACAATACTTGAACACAAATTATTTTTAGCTGTCACTAGGCTTGTACTTCACACTCTGAGCAGAAACGCACTACTCCTTCACCAGACACTTCGCTTATGCTTATGTACCCATCTTCAGATGCCTAGACCATCCATGCATTACAGGTCAGAATGAGATATGCCTGGAAAGTTCTAGAACATTCTACTCTGATCTAGGCTTACAATACGTAAGTAAATCATAAAAAAAAAATGATGCAGTACATTCTAGAAAATTCTTACATAGGTAATACCTCAATATATTGTATATTGCAGCCTATGTATAAGTTTACTTTTGAAGCTAAAATTTTTGTGTTTGATCTAGAGGTCGTCTTATACAACAAGTAAAAAATGTCAACCTCTAAGTATGCCCCACCACCAGCATCAGATTTTCACTTAATTTCCAGCACTCACAAACAAGTTTTATCTAACTGTAGCATTTTTCCAGAAGGGTAGCTGTTCCTGAACTCAGCCTAAGGTCAGTGTTTACACTAGTCACACAGATACAGAGTATTTAATAATAAACTATCAGTACGAGTAAATTGTCATTACTCACCTAATGTACAGTGTATCTTAAATATATTTATGCCTGTAGGAACTGTATTGTTGTGATTTGTTAACACCACATTCATGTGCCCTAATAACGTTTGTTTGTAAGAAAACCGTAGTTAACACCGAAAGGAATTTGAATGTTTTGAAAATGCTGCAATTTGGTAAAATTTGTTTGTGAGTGCTGTTAAAAAGTAAATGTTGGCAAGTTTAGCTGACACCAAGGACATAGTTTTCAAATTGCAATTTAGGGGGTCGCCTTACCTGCCAGGTATAGGCCTAGATCAACAATTTCGGTTCAAATAATTAAGGTCATCTTATACACAAGGTTGACTTATAGGCCGCAATATACGGCATACAAGAAAATCTCCCCAAACTTGCCAAAATCACTGCTGCTTGGAAAAAAAAAAATCATAAAAAACACCTAGTTCACAAAAATTATACCTGTACGACTAAATTACTCATCAGCATAACAATATTTATGGCACCTGATGCAGCTCCTGAATTTTGGTATGTTAAAACATACAAACATGAAAACAATATACGCTTGTATTTATTATAAATACCAAAATTCCAAGTGTATCAAGAGCCATCAATATTTGTAAGTAGGGTAATTGGACACACATGACCCAGCAACACAGCTATTGAATCTAGCCAGCCAAGACATTAACATCACCACTCCACACCCCTGGTACACAAATATTTATTAAATTATGTGCCTGAAGGGTATTATAGTTAACCACTAAACCAGCAGAAATAGAATGATAATGTTGGTGATACACAACCTTCGCATGTACAGAGATATCTCTGTTAGCCGGAAAAATTGGGGCAGAACACTTCCAGGAATGAAAGATTTCCGGGTAACGAGACAATTCTCTGAAAGCCGGAAAAAATCCCTCATCCCCGGAATTTTCCGGGTACTGGGAAAATTTTCTTGGAAGTTCCGGAAATTACGCATTACATTATCTCTCGAACCCGGAATGAAATCCCCCTTCCGCGGAATTTTTCCAGGTACCGGTACCTGTACTGGAATTTTCTCTGAATTTTCCAAAATGATGGGTTATTTTATCTCTCAAAGCCAGAAAAAATCTCCCATCCCTGAAATTTTCTGAGTACCGGATATTTTTTCCTGGAATCTCCAGAAAATGTGCTTGATTTTCATCTCTCAAACCCAGAAAAATAACCCCCATCCCTGGAATTTTCTAAGTGCCGGCAAAATTTTGTCTGAATTTTCCAGAAAATGTGCCCCCTAAGAAAATCTTTCTCAAAACCATAATTCTCCAGCACATTCTGGCATTGAGAATGATTTTCAGAGTAAATTTCAATTCTGGCTATCGGAAAGTTCCAGTTAAGAGGGATTCCAGCTAACGGAGAAATTACTAGAATTGTGTTAGAAGCTCGCTATATAATTGTTTTTTCTCCTGGGGTGGGGGACCCCAACCGTGATTAGGGTTTAACCGTGTAAGTGAACCGCCCCTCAAGCATGGTAACAGTCACTTCAGACTATGTTGGTATATAACAGATCGAGTCTGTTATTATTCTGCATCCGGATATAACAGATTTCCGGCTTTAATGGACCGGCCATCCTCTCAATTAGTCTGCTATATCGGGGGTTTACTGTACAGTAAAAAAAGGTGTATTTTTTTTTGGATTTTCCTCGATATAAAATGCAGTTTTTTCTTCACAAACTTAACAGAATAAGTTACCAATACCAATAAATATGTTACATAAAAATACTCTATTGCCAAGCCAGTAAATAAAAGCCAAATGAAAGTTTAACACAGTTGCCATTTGCAAATGCAGTAATATCTCTGTTAGCTGGAATCCCTCAAACCTGGAACTCTCTGACAGCTGGAATTGGAAGTTTCTCGGAAAATCGTTCCCAAAGACGGAATTTTCTGGAAAATTCCGGCTTTGGGAATGATTTTCCGAGGGGCACATTTTCCGGAAAATTCTGAGAAAAATTTCCCGATACCCGGAAAATTCCGGGGATGGGGGAGTATTTTTTCTGGGTTTGAGAGATGAAAATCAGGCACATTTTCTGGAAATTCTGAGAAAATTTTTTTCCATTGCCCGGGAAATTCAGGGGATGAGGGATTTTTTTTGTCTTCGAGAGAGTTGTCTCGTTACCCAGAAATCTCTCATTCCCAGAAGTGCTCTGCACCAATTGTTCCGCCTAACGGGGATATCACTATACTGTACATCTGTACTCCGTTTACCATAGTAAAGACAACGCTACCTCCACCGATTCCCTAGCAACGCTCCCCCACCAACCGCCCAGCCATCCTCCCGCTCCCCCACTCAGCCAGCTAACTCGTATGCAGAAATGTATATTAATTTTATATGTTTGTCCTTAGGACAATTATTTCTTTAACCCTTTTCACAATATGTGTGCGTGTGCATGTATATCAGTAAAAATAAATGAATAAAGTTAAGTATATCTACCTGAAAATACGAGTTGAAAAACAACAGCTTGGCCCAGTAGCCTGGTTACAGAGACGAATCTAACCTGGCCACAATGCCGCCATTGATGTTAACAGATGCAAATATTAAAAGAAAGTTATCTGTAAGTCTTCATTTGTATCAGGCATTTGTAGATTGAAAAATAAATGTTGCAGGTATGGCATTAATGGATTGTAATGCTTGTAAGAGTTCAAAAATGGTTAATGTTTAGCTACCTTTGAAGAGTTGGGTGTCTGCCATATGAACGTTAATCATCTCAGGTTATGGTCATCGGTAAAGTACAGAGTAGCTGTAGATCGACCTTTTACATTTACAATACAGTAAAACCTTGATAAATCGGACTTCGATATATCGGAATTCACGTTTTTCGGACTCTGAGATGCTCTGGTCATCAGAAATACTAAAAAAAAGTTTTAAGAAATAGGGAATATTAATTAAAAAAAAATCTCATGAAATGAACAACACTTACTTAATATTGTACAGCGGTCTAATGAGATTTTCTACAGTCCTACCGAGAACTAAAACATTTGAGTATGTAACAAGGCTGGGGCTGATCAGGTATTGCTGCATTCATCAGGTTTATTTATTTATTGATTCAGTATTACATTCTCATATGATTGACCTCTTATGGTTTATGGTTCATCATGATTAATAGAACATCTTCAGTAATAGAGAAAAAATACAATAAGTAATATGACTTGAAAATAAAAGGATAAGTTGTATCAGAAGGTTATTTATTCAAGATGCCTTCGTGGAAGAGCTTTCTGCTCACTAGCTTACAACAGAGGTCACTATAACACACTATATAGTATTTAATATGATGATACCTTCCCCAAAATGTTATTTACTGCTTATGATGACTCAGTTTGGTTACTAGTACACTCAGACAAATGATTAATGAATAAACCAGGGTATGTGCAGATGCAAAATACTGTACACTACAATATGCTGCAGTAGTTTTTATTAAGTGGTAATAAATACACTGCAATAGTATTTATTAAGTGATGAATACACTGTAATAGTATTTATTAAGTGATGATAAATACACTACAATAGTATTTATTAAGTAATGCATACAATGTAATAGTATTTATTAAGTGGTAATAAATACACTGCAATAGTATTTATTAATTGATGATAAATACACTACAATAGTATTTATTAAGTGGTGATAAATATACTGCAGTACTATTTATAAAGTGATGATAAATATACGACTGTACTGTACTAATTTACTAAGTGCTGAAGAAAGACATTGTGGTAACCCAATCAGCTGTTTGCTCTTTGTAAACAAATGACTCATGGTTTTCAGTATGGGATTCTTTTTTCAGAAAAGCTGATTCTTTTAGGATAATATCTACACAAAGCGGCATGAAATTATCCTAAATTATATGAGAATTGTGAAGAAATTCCATAAAGAAGTGTTAAAGGAATCTTGGGGGGAGAGGGGGGAGGGAAGAATCCACCCGTGATACCCCCCCTTTCTGCCAGCTGCTCCCATATAAACACTGTTCTTCCACATACAATATATCCCTACACATATTTGTTCTTATTTTTATCATTATAGTACTGTACAGTATACAGTTTTCTCTTTATTCATCTTGGTGACAACAGTTGGTGACAACCAGATTTCGATTTCTGATTTTCATCCCAGAGAGTTGTTCCCGATAACATTGTTTCATTATAACGTTGCTATTCTTTAGATACCCACGATTCGAATAACGTCCCGCCGATTCAGTATAACGTCGCCATGGACTACTTTGTACGGCGCATCACCCTCTCTCATCTTGGCATGCTACGTCTCACCCACGGAGCGTCACGGCATCCCCAAGCGTCGCCGGGCTTTGTTAAGTTACCACAGCGTTTGTGCATGTTTAAGTGTTTTTGCTCTTAATACTGTACTCTAACCATTCAAAATGGCTTCCAAGTGCCCATCAAGTGCTACTGATGCTAGTGTTGTAAAGAAGCAATGAAAGACCATTAGGCTTGCTACGAAAATAGAGGTTTTAAATCGGGAGGAGCCACCGCCGGGTCTCAGTGACTCGCCACCCTCCTCTCCCGCCCTCATCCTCCGCCCCACTATCCACCACACACTCGCTCCATCACCTCCACCCATCAGTGAGTACAATACAAAATTATTTAGTTTATTTATATATATACTATTTTCTATAAAAATGCCAAATAATTTCTGTGTATGTAATATATTTTATGGGGCAAAGGGAGACTGTGGAACGTAACTCCTGTATCTTATCTATTTCTTTTTGGGAAAATTTATTCCATTAACGTTGTTTCCATTAATGTCGCAGTTTTCAGGAATGGAACCACGACGTTAAGCGAGGACTTACTGTAATGGCAAAATGAGTTGTTAATCTCATAACAATTCTAAAATGTTACAAAAATATAAACTTACAGTCCGGACTTTATGGCCACGTTTGTGAGTGAGGAGTTCTTGCACCATTCCCTGTAGACACATGGACATGAGGACCGCTTGACAGCTTGTGACTGTCACCCAACGCATGTCCTCCCGACTCATCAGATATTCAAAAGATAGTTCCAAGTTGACATGACGACCTCCCTCTAGGCTGCTGCAGCTGCTTCTGCTGCTGCTGCTGTTACTGCTGCTAGTGCTGTTGGTATTGCTACTGTTGTTGCTGGTGGTGCTAATACTGTTACTGCTGCTAGATCCCTCTACTGGCTGTTGACAGAAAACCATTAGTCATGAGTCACATAATGTATCTATGATCAACCAAAAACAATATATTTACAGGATACTGTAACAAAGTAAGGCAATTACTGTTAGTAATAATACCCTGCAAAAAGATTAAGTCAAACATGGGCCACAAATGTAGGAAAAATATACAAAAGACACCTATAATTCAGTTCTGTCTAGATATCAATGACAAATGCCTGTAAAAACAATTTCAAGTTTATCTGCCCATCAAATGTTTAATTACTAACTGGAAATCATACCAGTATGTACAGCATGTGAACAAATAGACTGGGACACAAAAATTTAAAAGTGAACAGGAAGAATGTGGAAAACAAATTACTATTATTATTATTTTTTAACATGAAATAATTTCATTACAGTAGGGTCGGGATATATCATGAGATACGGTCCAAGGATGTTCGCTATACAGTATACTAAATCGCGATATAAAATTACAAGTAATCAATAGGGAAAATAGGGTTAGGTTCTGGAGGCCAATAAAAGTGACTAAACTTCACATAAAATGGTACAGTCTAAAGTTAGTAGAATATAAATTACATTGCTGGAATCCTTGCAGGACAGCGAATAATTTGAATATATACATCATATATTTTGCACAAGAGATAAAATTTCAAGTATACAGTACAGTACAGTAAACCCATGTTTTTCGCATTTTTATCACGGTTTTGACCATTCCTGTTTAAAAAAAAAAAAAAATTATATATAATAAATATATAAATACAGTGAACCCTCACTTTACGCGGTTAATTCAACCCACGGCGGCCCGCGTAACGTGAACAACATAACATATGGGATTAATTGAGACCGGGCCGACCCCCAAACTCCACTTTTTCAGACCCAATACCTACGTTGTAGTAAAAATAACTTCTCAATTTTATGATGGTATGCACACACAATTAATAATTAAGAGAAATATCAATAATATTAGGTTTTTTAACACTTACATTAGTAGAAAAGATGGCTGGGCACACGGGGATGGGGGGTTGGTTCCGAGGCAGAGGGCAGATTATTGGCCCTCACCTGTATCACTTGTATCAATTGTATCACTATCCACCACAGAGGCTTGCAGGGCCTCTTTGTCAAACCCCTCAAAGTCCATATAAGTCCATATCCTCACTATCATTATCACTGACTTGGGCCGGCTGTGGTGGGTGGCGGGTGAAGAACTCGGTAATGTTTTGATGACTGGGCGACCTTGTGCGCACCCTGCTCGCGCCGCTCTCCGCGTAAAAGGGTACACACACCGTGGAAAGTGAGCATTCCGGTTTCGGCAGGGTACCGCGTAAACGTGGAAACTCGTAAAGTGGGACCGCGTAAAGCGAGGGTTGACTGTATATATATATATATATATATATATAAATATATATATATATATATATATATATAAATATATATATATATATATATATATAGTATATATATATATATATATATATATATATATATATATTCCAGACCTGACTTACGGACTTACGACCGTCGACTTACGACCGCAGATTTTTAAAAAAAAAAAAAAAAAAAAAAATTTCAAATGACACGCATTTTCTATACCGAAACGTTTCCAGTTAATGTAGTTCCATGTATAATTAGAAAATTATATCTATGCATTCAGCTGACTACATTAGGTAAGTGCTGTCACACTGTAACCATTCCTTATTATTTATTACTTTCACTGTACTGTATCCATTCATCATTCTTCATTACTATTACTGTACTGTATTTCATTGTAGATTTTTATTTAAAAAAAAAAAAAAAAAAAATAATTTAATTATGTCGGACTTATGCTGGATTTGGGTCCTAACCCTGTCGTAAGTCGGGGTCTAGTGTATATAAATATATATATATATATATATATATATATATATATATATATATATATATATATATATATATATATATATATATAATACAGTAAACTCCTGATTAACCGACTTGATTAACCATCAATCAATTTTTTTTTTTTTTACAGGGATTAGCCCACCCGGGCACATGTCATTGACCCACATCGGCTGGGGGCGATAATATAATAATATTAATAATGATAATGATAATGCTAATAATAATATTAATAATGATAATGATAATGCTAATAATAATAATAATAAAGAAACCATAAAGAAATGCAAAATGAAAAAAAAATCAAGTGAGAAACAATGTACCTGTATGTATGTTGTGTTGTCAATAGTAAGAGAAACAATTGAAATCCTGCAATTGTGTGTAAATGAGGCAGAAAGTTAGATCAGCAACCTGGGACTTGGTCACAATTTTTGTGATGACATATGTTCTTTGACTTTTCCATTTTTATTTCACGGTTTCTGTGCTGGTTCATATTTAATTACTAAAGTGGTTAATCTTTTAAAGGGAAAGGTACTTTGAAAATGTATGTTTTATTTCTGTAGACTTTATGTACTACAGTGGGGTATGCTATAACGAATCTAATTGGTTTTAGAACCTTGTTCGTTATAGCATTCGTTCGTTATGGGATTAATCCGTTCCAGGCCCCCAAATACAACCACTTAACACTGAAAAATCTAATATGCATAAATATGCATCTAAACTCCTGAAATAAAGAATATCATTAATACTTGCAATAAAAAAACATAAATTAGTAAAAAAAAAATAAAATAAAAAATAATGTTCGTTGTAGGAGTTTAGATTCGATATAGCATTCTCAATTTTATAGGTAAAACCGTTCGTTATAGGAATATTAGTAGTAGAATCGTTCGTTATAGCATACCGCACCGTATTATCCGACCTTTTCGATTATCCGTCCAGCCTTCCCCATATGTGGTCGGTTATCGGGTTTTAATGTGTGTATATATATATATATATATATATATATATATATATATATACAGATTCTACTATAACGGATAATTGTTCTTGTAAAATATGTGTTATGAAAATAGAGTACAGTTTATAGCGCTTTCATAACGCGTTTTACGCATATCTGGCGATTGCCTTGCCAAAGCTGAACTTTCACTTAGCGGGTTTTTCTATCGCAGTGAGTGTCGAGCGCTATTTTGTTGCCCTCCGCCACCTGCCTGACTGCCTGTTTTAGCTCATAAATTCATACAAATTACCAGGCAGAATATAATTTACTTGCTGGAATTCTTATAATTTGGTGATCATTTTGAATATAAACATCATATATTTTGCTTTAAACTTACAATTTTTAGATAAAAATTTTTCTCTAAGTAACTATGGTATCTTTTGTCCAAAATATATGACATTTATATTCAAAATATTCCTGGTCTTACAAGGAATCCAGCAATGTCAATTATATTATCCTAACTTTAGTTTGAGGTATTATTTATTAAAATTTAGTGGTTATCACATCTCCTTGGGACGGTTGGTGGGGTGTGGGGGAGGGCAAACCAACCGACCATCTGTTCGTGTAATTATTATTTTTTATTAACTGAAGATATTTGTTTTAGCTCATAAAATTCATACAAATTACCGGTCAGAATATAATTTACATTGCTTGAATTCTTATAATTTGGTGATCATTTTGAATATAATCATATATTTTGCTTTAAACTTACAATTTTTAGATAAAAATTTTTCTCTGGATAACTATGGTATCTTTTGTCCAAAATATATGACATTTCTATTCAAATATTCCTGGTCTTACAAGGTCAACAATGTCAATTATATTATCTAACTTTAATCTGAGGTATTATTTAATACTAAATGTTAAAACTCTGAAAGGAGGATTGGTTGGGAGGTTGGGACTGACCGCGGTTGGAAGAGCAAGGTGGGGTACTTTGATTGACAGATAGTGTTAATGAATTTTTTTTATTAACTGAAGATATTTGTTTTAGCTCATAAATTCACAAATTCGGTCAGAATATAATTTACATTGCTGGAATTCTTATAATTTGGTGATCATTTTGAATATAAACATCATTATATTTTAGCACCTAAATTTTTAATAAAATTTTTCTCTAGGTAACTAGTTATGAAATATATGACATTTATATTCAAAATATTCCTGGTCTTACAAGGAATCCAGCAATGTCAATTATATTTTTCTCTTTAGTTTGAGGTTATCACATCTCCTTGGGACGGTTGGTGCAGACCGACCATCTGTTAGCCGGCTGTGTGGTGGGGAGAGTTGATCCATTATTTGAATGGACATTAACTTGGCACTGTATTTCTCTATTTCTCTTAAGTATTAATTGTGCATGTACCATCATTTAATTAAGATGTTATTTTACTAACATAGGTTATGTCCTTCAAAAGTGAGTTTGGGGTCGGGCGGTTCTATTGGAATTAATCCCATATGTTCTGTTGTTCACTTGGTTTTTCACTTAGGGACCCTCTGGGTTCAAATTGACCCGTTAAGTGGGGTACAACTGTAATAGAAATAACAGGGCTTATGGAAAAATAGGGTTAGGTGCAGATTACTCATCGAAAAAATTTAGTAGTTAGCCTAACACAAAGGATAGCACAGTCTAAATAAATGTTACATTCATATCTAATAATGAAATCATACAGTAAATGTAACACTTTACTTGATGGGGGAGAAGGGTGATTTTGAGGTTGATAAAATCGAGCTTCTCTTCAAGTGTTATATCCTTTCTTTTACGATCATCACCAGAATTCTATCACCAGAGCTTCTTGTTGATATTCTTCTTTACTATATTCACAGTTTATACGTGGGTATGCTATAACGACGGATCCTACTCTGTAATATTCCTATAACTTAACGGTTTTACCTATAAAATTGAGAATGCTATCTAACGAAACTCCTACAACGAACATTATTTAATTATTTTTTTTTAATTTATTGTTTTTTTACAAATATTAATGATATTGTTTATTTCAGGGGTTTAAATGCATATTTATGCACTTTTTACAATTTTACAATTTTATATTATATTTTTCAGTGTTAAGTGGTTTGCATTTGGGGGCCTGGAACGGATTAATCCTATAACGAACGAATGCTATAACGAACAAGGTTCTAGAACCAATTAGATTCGTTATAGCATACCCCACTGTACCAAAAATTGGAGAAATAGTAAGCAAAAATCAGCGTTATATCAAAAAAGCGTTCGCGTTATACAAATATCGTTCCTAATTCATAAATCGCGTTAGAGCAAATTCGCGTTATAAAACACGCGTTATAGCAGAACTCACTGTATGTGTATATATATATATATATATATATATATATATATATATATATATATATATATATATATATATATATATATATATATATATATATATATATATATATATATATATATATATATATATATATATATATATATATATATATTTAGTCCATATAACACGTGGACTTTGAACATATAATCAACGACCTCACCAGCAAGGAATCGAACCCTCGTACATGTAATCAAAACAATGTACAAAATGATTACTTAAATTTTTGTCTAGAGCAAACTATAAGCATGTTTACATTCAAATTAATCACTATCTTATAAGAATTCCAGCAATGTAAATTATATTCTCCCCGGTCACTTCTATGACATTTTATAAGCAAAAAACAAAAAATCAATCTAAGGGACAAATAAACAAATAAATACTTCACAAGACCTTCGGCGCTAACTGTCAAACATGTCACCCTTCCCACCCACGGTTTGGTGGTTGTACAGTACCGGGTAGGCTTTAAGTTTTTATCTTATATAATATCACAGACTAAAGTTAGGAGAATATAATTTGCATTGCTGGAATCTATACAAGACAGTGAATAATTTGAATATAAACATCATATATGTTGCACAAGAGATAAAAATTTTACTATACATTAGTTTAGTACATTTTAGTAATGTAAAGTTTTAAACTGTATTTTTGGGTAGATTTACATAAATTTCTTCATTTATTTTCATTCATTTCCATGCACACCATACTAAAAGAAACGTAAAAGAAATAAATGACCTAAGTGCAAACCTGTACTGTACATATAAATGATTATGGTAGAATTTAAACATAGAACAGATTACTGTACTGAATTGGCTGAGTACTGTACCCCCTCAGCTGATTCTCACAACAACAAACTGGTATGTTAGTTCCTTCTACAGTACTGCATATATTATCAATATTTAATGTCAAAATAACTAATAGTTTTAAAATAAAACATTCAAAAATAATAAAAAGCTGACATTTATTGATATTTACTCCATTGGAAATGAATTTAAACTTAGAACAGATTACTGAATTGGCAGACTGGGCCATCAGCTGACCAGCTGATGCTCACAACAAAACGTGATTTTCGTAAGGATTTCGTTAATCGAACTTTTGTTCGTTAACCGAATTGAAGATTCTTATGGAAGGCAATTCGTTAACCGAAATATCGTTAACCGAGGCGTTGATTAATCGAGGGACCACTGTAGAAATATCTCCGTTAGCCAGAATCCATCTTAACCGGCACTCTTTGATAGCCAGAATTGAAATTTTCTTGGAAAATCATTCCCAAAGCCGTAATTTTCCATGAAATTCTTCCTTTGGGAAAAAAACATCCGAGGGGCACAATTTCTTGAAAATTCCGAGAAAATTTTCTCAGTTCCCCGAAAATTCTGGGGATGGGTATTTTTTTTCCGAGTTTGAGAGATGAAAATCATGTGCATTTTCCGTAAATTCTGAGAAAAATTTTCCAGTCATCGAAAAATTACGGATACGGGGGATATTTCTATGGAGTCGAGAGATGATGTAATGCACAATTTCTAGAACTTCCAAGAAAATTTTTACATTACCCGGAAAATTCAGGGGTTGATTAATTTTTTTTCCGGCTTTGAGAGAGTCATCTCATTACCCAGAAATCTCTCATTCCCGGAAGTGCTCTTCAACAGTTAGAAGTTTAGACAAGAACGAAAACTTTGGCATTAATATTTGCACTTACCACTCAGACGAGGTAGGCCTTGGTATATGCATGACAATGGTGCTACCGTCACAAATATGTATCAAATACGCACAATACAGTCATGCGTCGGTTAACGTCCGACCGCATATACTTCTGTATCTCAAAAAAAACTTCCGTGGCGCCTGCTGGACCACCACTCCACGACCCCTAGCTAGCGACATGATGATCCTCCCCATACTGGTCAGATATTATGTGTTAAAGGAATATGCTTCCTTCCTTAGGCTTTTTTTAAGCATTTGCTTCCAGGTGTAATGTTAACCTACATCTATTGAGGATAAAATCTTTCACCCACAAATTGACAATAACACATTTGCTGTAATCAGACATATCTAGTTGCCTCAACAATTGCAACCCCAGTTGCAACCCCATTGCTGTCGGATTTTTACCATTCCAGATTTTATTCTTTTAATACCCAAAATACAATCGTATTCTACAATTTCTTTGCCACACTCTTGCTTAGCCAAATCATCAGCAACCTCGTTCATATAAATAACACAATGGGATGAAATCCACATAAAACTAACATCATATCCAAGTGATTTTATGTCCTGAATACACTTCTTACATTTTAAAATTAAATCATCATCAAGAGGCACTTTAGAATTTAGAGCAAATAGAGAGCTTTGACTGTCAACAAATCCAAAAACCGTCTTTTTCCTCACAAAGGCATTCTTAAGTCCCACATATATAGCATAAAGTTCAGTAGTGGTGCTGGAACTTCCATCCCCAATTCTCTTGGATATTCTTTCTTCAACACTAATACCATATTAAAAAAATTCCCGAATAACAATGCCACATCCGGCCCAATTCCCATTAACTGAATCATCACAGTACATATGAATAACATTTTCCTTATGGTACAGTAGTCAGATATTTTCTCAAGGTATATTTGCCGTAACTCAAAAGAATTACATTTTTTTTTTAAACTCTAGCTTATCCATTCTTACAGATACACTCTCCATGAACCAAAGTTTCAAATAAACTTTGTTTGGCAAAAACACACAAATCTACAATATTATATTCACACAACATCTGACAAAATTTTTTAGTATAAGTATTCATCTTAAAATTACTTGTAATTGCATTAGTAAATTTATCAACAGCAGACTTCAGATACCCATCACCACGCCTAATAAGCCTTAGAGTAGAAATGACAGTCAACTCCCTAATTCTGTGTATTATGCTCGGGACATTTAGCTCCATCCTCATAATCTCTCTTCTTGTTGTCCTTGGACAACCAAGCACAATCTAATTGCTTCATTCTGAATAAGCTCTAATGGCCTAAGATCTTTTCCTGAGTAAGAAGCTTGAACTGGAGCTGGATAATCAATGATTCTCCTAACTGTACTTAAGTACATATACCTTAAAACTGGTATACCAACACCATTTCCTCTATTTGACAAAACTTTCAGAGGTTTTAGCCTCGCTGTACATATATTTTTGACATAAGTAATTTGATCCTTAGCAGTATTATTTATACCCTAAACATTCCCAGATATTTGTAACTGGATACTTTTTGCAATTTTATTCCATTTAGCTAAAATTCTTTTCCATTTAATGCCCTTGACTGAAATTTGGTTTTATTTTCATTAATGACCAGTCCCAAAGAGATACAAAGATACTGCAGCTGATCAATGACCCTAGACATACTGTATCTTCCTCATTCTTACATTGGATCAGAATGTCATCAGCATAAATGATTACTTGAGACTTGCCCTGGAATTTGGAACTAGCTATTCTGTCCATAAGAACATTAAAAAGCATAGGGCTAAGGGCCAATTGCAAGAAGCTCCGTGGTATACACCATGCTGTAGTAGCCCCATGTTTGTTGTGCAAGAAGCGTTCTGGGATAAAAAAAAAAATATGTACGATTCGTTATTGGAACATGGGAGAATTTTGTGGTACCATGTAAGTGGTTGTTAAACATGGCAACATAGCATTAGAAGCGGCAACATTGCAAGCATGGCAGCAGAGCACATGGAGAGCATGTGGTGCGGGTCCCAGTGTGTTGCGGTATCAAGGAAGCGTATGTGTACACTGTACAGTAACATCGGCATCACTTGAAAATGAGTCATTTGTTTTTACTTTCTTAATTTTGTTTTTGTTTTATACAGTATTATCTGTCAAGGAATGTGCTGTGCTGTACTGTACTGCATTAAGTTCATTTGTTTACGAAAGCGAGAGGGTGAGTGAGATAAAAGACGATTGTACTGTACGTATTGTTATTTCTGTACAGGTATTACAGTATACTGTATATTGTAGCCGTATATACATATATTTGTACCCTGTACTCTGACATATGATTATTACCTACCTCAAGTGATTATTTTATGCGCAATTATGTATTTTTGGTGAAGTACTGTACCTCAATTATCAGATTTATCTGTTTTTCCGACCTACCCCTCCCCCCATACAAGGTCGGTTAAATGAGGGTTTACTGTATTCAGATAGTGATCATTCAGACATATAGGGATACCGGCACAGGTATATGCCTGACAGTGACTAAGTTCACAATTAGGTGTAAACTTCTAACCTTAATGTACTTCTAATGTACAGTAGTCCAAAATCTTTAAAACAACAGAATTTGCTGAAATTTAAGAATATCAAAATTACTCACAACAAGTCTAGTTATAAATAAACTCAGACAAAACCTAAAGTATACAAAAGCAAATTATATTTGCACCACATGAATGTAACTAAATGATGGCTATTCTGTGTCATTTGCTTTACAGGTATCTAGAAGTAAAACTAGTTTCAGTAGCAGCTAAATTAACTGAACATTGAAGATCAATATTATTGTAACATATGCTCTGAAAACTCCATCAAATAGACTGACAAACAGCTCTACTCCTATAAACCTAATGGTGATTCTTCGAACATCCATACTAACCACTAGCACAACCTGGGAAACTGAAGATGATTAAAGCTCACCAATTCCCCATTACTAAATTATCAATTTCAACTGGCTCTCTCTTGATCAAGTAAACACTTTTATTTCAAAAACATTCTCTGGATATGATAGAAATATAATATTTTTTTTTACCTGTTGCACAGTTATTCTCCAACATCTCATGCGTGTCACTTTGAAGTTTCCCTCCTTCACAGTCCCATCTTCACACTCGATCCTGAAAAAAAAAAAAAAAAAAAAAAATTAGGGCTGGGAAGGACTGAAGATCCAGTACAGTGGGGTCTCATTTTACGAGTCTCACGTGCAGAGTTATCGCTTACGCTATTGGTTGAAATGTGACCATAGTTATAGCTTACACACAAAGCCATGGGTAGCGTAGGGAGAGGCATAGCATTAATTCAACAAAAAAGGGTTCCGAGTCACTCGAATTACCAAAAAACCTGGTGTTTGAGAGGCGGTGAGTGCTGGTAACATTGTTAGGGAGAGCAGGAACAATAAGCTGATACCGCTCTGTACTGTAAACAAGAGACTGCAATAGCTCATCTGGGATTGAGTGTTTAATTGTGGGGGTAAAATTAATTATTTTTCAATAATGTTTTATTAACCCAGCACCAAATGAACCTAAATATTGGAATTACGGTAAAATTGCCTGCTGTCAATATAAAGGGATCACTGGTTGCTGAGCGGGAGGTGGTAAGATGTCCTCCTCTCTGCCACCCGTCACCGACACACCCGAACATGGTTTTGTACATTGATATCCCGCTAACCCAAACAATTGGCACAGAACATTTCCAGGGATGAGGTCCGGGTAACCAAACGACTCTCTTAAACCAGGAAAAGTATCTTATTCCGGGAATTTTTTTTCAGTTACTGGGAAAAGTTTCCGAGAATCTAAACTACTCATCTTGCACAGACAGACACTAGCCCACATCCCTAGAATGTTTCTGGGTGCTTGAGAAACTTTTCCAAGAGTCTAAACTATTGAGTCTGTGAAAGAAGTTCTAAGTAAATTAGAAACTGCATTTCTTTACTAGAATAATCCTGAATAGTTTATCTAAAAGTTTGGTTATATAAATGTATTTAAAAAACTAAAACTCTACAATTATGATATAAGCGTGCAGGATGGCTAGTGAATGAAGCTGTTACAGCGAAGACTGATATTTTCACACTAGTATGGAGCTGTGAGGGATTAATGGGTTTCATGTTACTGACCTGCCATGATGCAATGTCATGTGGAGGTTAGGTGGGGGATTAGTGGTCTTATATTACTGAGTTTTTGATGCAATGTCAGGTCACCCATTGTTGGGTGGAGGATTAGTGCCCCACGACCTGAAGATGTATTGAATAAAGATAACAGCTAAGGTATTTTTGAGGCATGAGGCTGTTAGCAAAAAAGTGTATAAACTTTTATTCACAACATCTGCTCTGTGTTAGAGAAATGAATTTCGTACCATTGCATATATGGAGATGAGTTCCTGATGACTTTTTTTTTACCTTTGAGACATATACAATACATGTATCCATCGTTTAGTGATCGGGATGCGTTCCTGAAAAACAGATCGCTAAACAAAGGATAACGGGGAATGATATCCATGGAGATGGCACGTAAATGTGTAACCGAGTCGCTGACTCGCCACCCAGTAGCACTCAGAGCAGATGAGGCTGAGCTGTAAGCTAGTTGTTCAACTCACAATTTCAGGTAGATACATGTAATTTTCTTAATTTACTCTTTTACAAGCACACACAACTGTTTGTACAGAATATGCAAAACAAATAAAAAATATAATTATCATAAGGTCAAAAACATAAAGGGAATACACAGTTCCTACATAGTTGGCAGTTAGCCAACAGAGTGGGGAGGGGAGTGAGGAGAGATGTGCAGGATATCTTAGCTGTTCCCTATTGCTTGTCCTGTGAAATGATTGCCAAATGCCAAGGCAGTATTTTATTTTAATTTTATTTATTATCTTTATTTATTCCTCACATTTATTGGTATACTATGAATATATAGTTTACAGTATTCATACGGGCAGTCACCAAGCTGACTCAAGAGATGTGTGTGGCTGCTACCTGATTGATTAATTGATTGATCGATTGACTGTGGTAATCACATCCCTGTATGCCATGATGTCGCATAGGGGATATGAAGAGGGCAAGCTGGCCACAGTCACTACTTCAATACAGACCTTCACTTTCAACACATACACACCCATGCTCTTCATTTTGTAGTTTTGTAGTACGGCATAATGTATACTTTAAACTATAAAATACAGTCAGTCCTCGATTATTTAAGGGGCTTAAGGATCGAATTGGTCGTAAGTCGAAAAGGCGAAAATAATACAGTACATTATCGTCTGCATTTATGCGGCTTTTGTTTACGCGTTTGGTCATTTACGCGGTGCCTACATATAAAGAAACAAACATTCCTACATTTGAGACCAGCAGACAACCTTTAGCAATTCCTCAATAGATGGCGCTGCCGCACCACTGCCATTAGTGAACAAACCGCACAGCAGCAAGGGTTTATTATTTTTTTTTTTTGCAATATTTCAACAATATTAGTTAAATCAATAGTTTTATAGTACTGTATAGAGAATACTTGTAATTGTTATGTACTGTAATGAGGCAACAGTTTTTGTAAGGGGCTGATTTCAAAAACCTCTGCTACAACTTATCGACTAGTGTCCTGGAAGACGCATGGTAATTTTCAAGATATATTTTTGTCATAAAAAGTGCGCTTTAAGCCGAAAAATACGGTATATCCATAAAAACTTGATTTTCCTTTCACATTTTACACGCCTTACTGCCACATATTCCAGACATTTCTGAAAGGCAAAGAAAAACATGAAGTATCGGAAAACCCATCTCAATATGCCATGTTTGGCTCTCTGGTTATCTGCGTCGTTCTATTTCCTCTTACCTGGTATATTATGTTTCCTTCCTCCTCTATTCACTATGCATTACAGCTTTCTAATAGAACCGATAGAACGCAGAGGGTCAGCGTAGATGGTGTTAAATCTGAGTGGGGCCGTGTAACCAGTGGGGTTCCCCAGGGGTCAGTACTAGGCCCACTCTTGTTCATAAACTACATAAACGATCTAGATACTGGGATCAGCAGTGACATAAGCAAGTTTATGGATGACACCAAAATAGGGCAGCAGATTAATTCAGGGCAGGATGCAAATGCATTACAGGAGGATCTAGATAAACTGCAGGGGTGGTCTGAAAATGGCAAATGAAATTCAACACCAGCAAGTGCAGCGACTTAATATTGGAAGAACAAATACTGGTAATGTATACAGCCTAACAACATCAACCTAGAGAAGTCGACTTGTGAAAGAGACCTAGGGTACTTGTAAGCCCGGACCTACGGCCAGCATTGCATTAATGTTCAAATAAGGCAAACAGAGTATTGGGTTTTATATCTAGAAGTGTAACTAACAAGAGTGCAGAGGTCTTATTGCAACTATATCTTGCGCTAGTCAGGCCGCACTCGATTATCATGGTTCAGTTCTGGTGCCCGTATTATAGAATGGATATAAATTCACTAGAGTCGTGCAGCGAAGAATGACAAAACTGATTCCAGGACTAGAAACCTTCCATATCAGGATAGGTTAAAGAAACTTAACTTGCACTCCCAGAAAGATGAAGAGTGCATGGAGATATGATAGAAGTATTTAAGTGGGTGAAAGGAATCAATAAGGATATAGATAAAGTTCTTATAATATCCAAGCAGGATAGGACTCGAGCAGCGGTTCAAGTTGGATAAGTTTAGGTTTAGGAGGCGATAGGAAGAAACTGGTTCACAAATAGGGTGGTGGACGAGGAACAATTAGCAACTTTGTAGTAAGTGTGGGAACTCTGGAAAGTTTCAAAGGAGTAGCTAGAGATGATAGAGAGTGGTAGTAACTCTCGATAGGAGCTGCCATGCACAGGCCAACCGGCCTATTGCAGACTCCTTATTTTCTTATGTTCTTATGTAATACATATTTCATATAGCACACTCTTAAACATTTAAAATATCACCATATACCATTATTCTCTAAAAAGAAAACATGAATAAACAATGTCACATAATTTTCCATCATGGCATAAGCAAGAAATAATTTCACTTCCCAACTTACCTCATTCATTTCCCTTCTAATTTAATGATTATCACACTCCAATTGTTAGTATTGAATCTATAGAATAAATACTAACATTATACAGGTATATATAATATAAACAGTTATTAGTCATAAAAATGGGGAAACTGGGCAAAACACAGAGCAGCAATGTTGACTCCTCGTGTTTGATGGGGAGTTTTAGCTTGCCCCAGTCGCTGCTAGGTGGCAGCATCTACTGGGCCTGCACATAATTCAAACCCTGGAGAACTGTAGTCGAGTTACGCGTTAACAGAAAGGTTTACGAAAGTGGAATACAGTATAGTCGATTCAGGTGGTGAGACAAAAACAAAAATGTGAATAAAGTCGAGCCACGTGGTGAAAGGGTTAAAAAAAAGTACGAATTAAGCCAAAATTCGTGATAATGAGGGTACAGTGTACTGTATATCGCTTTCATCTTTATTCAAGACATCTTCAGGTTATAAGGACTGCTAATTCCCCACCCCCAATCTGACAATGCATCAAGTCAGTAACATGACACAACTAATCCCTCACCTCACCTTCACCGTAAATGAAAGAAGCTTGTATACAATAGGTAATCTAATATTACATGAGAGAATGTGGAGAAATTTCTTTTCTCCAACAGACATAATGTTTCTTTTTTACCTCAATTTTATATTTACCGTATCCTTTAATTACTCTATTCTTTTCTCTCTACTTTTCTTTTTATTTCTTTACGTGATTTCTCTTACCTTCTCTCATAGTCTTGTTCTTATTTACTTAAACAATTACGGAGGGGATAGAGAGGAGGTGGAGGAGAGAGAGGTAGAGGCAGGGTGTGGTGGGGGGAGAGAGGGTTGTTATGGTCACTTTTTCCCCTTGCAACTGAGTGTGTGTGTCTGGCCATTGCCTAATTCATTAGTTTTATATTTATTCATTATTATACTCTCATATTATCAGCCTATTACGATGTATGTTTCATCATATATAACATAACATACAGTATTAAATAAAAGAACAAACTAAGATACAGTCTCTCACTTCACTTATTAACCCGGACATACGACGGCCATTGTCAGATAAAATATTTTTCACATTATGTATTTTCGAGTCC